TTGCCGACTACTGAATTCTCTTCGCCGGCAATGGTGCATGCTCTAAATCATCACCGGAGACAGTCGTCTACTGCTGGTTCAGACGGCCCAAGACCTGTCTCTCCTCGTTTAATTCCCACCACTCAGCCACAGCCCCGCGCAGTTCCTCCGTCAATAAAGGATTTCGAGATCATCAAGCCCATCAGCAAAGGCGCTTTCGGAAGCGTTTACCTCGCCAAGAAGAAGTCCACCGGTGAATACTACGCTATCAAAGTATTGAAAAAGGCCGACATGGTAGCCAAGAACCAGGTCACCAACGTGAAGGCTGAGCGAGCTATCATGATGTGGCAAGGCGAGAGTGATTTTGTTGCCAAGCTGTATTGGACCTTTTCTAGCAAAGACTATCTCTATCTCGTCATGGAATACTTGAACGGTGGCGATTGCGCCTCGCTCATCAAGGTCCTGGGTGCTTTGCCAGAAGACTGGGCGAAGAAGTATCTCGCTGAGGTGGTACTTGGTGTCGAACACTTGCACAGTCGAAGTATCGTCCACCGCGATCTCAAACCGGACAACCTGCTCATCGATGGAAAAGGTCATCTAAAACTGACTGATTTCGGTCTATCGCGGATGGGTATGATTGGCCGACAGAAACGTGCACTCAAGTCTGTCGAGCCTGCGCCGGACCTGCTCAAAACCGGCCCGTTCCATCGCGCTACGTCTGTAGGCTCTTCACGATCTGCATCCTTTGACTTAAACCACTCGCCTTCACAGACGCCATCCATGACACCTGCTCTCGCTGGAGACATCGGTCAACCGTCGTACTTTAGCCTCAATCGAGACGGTTCCCAACAAAGTCGTGAGCCTTCAAGGCGGACTTCGGGCACTCGGAGCGACAGCCAAGACAGTGATGCGCTACAAGCCATGTTCCGTCGCTTCAGTATAGCTGACGATTCCTTTGGTCAGCCTCGTGGACGGTCACCGATAGAAGAGGAGGCCTACAGCGACGATGGTTCTCCCGACCTCTACCCTGCTACACATTCTCTGAGTCACTCTGCAGTAGCTCAAAATAGTGCGTTGGCGCCTTCGTCGTCAGCAATGCCACCGCCACCCATGGCTCTGTTCGACCCAGAAGATAGCCACCGCAAATTCGTCGGGACACCGGACTATCTTGCCCCTGAAACTATCGCTGGTAATGGGCAGGATGAAGTCAGCGATTGGTGGTCTTTAGGCTGCATCCTCTTCGAATCTTTGTACGGATATCCTCCATTCCACGCTGATACGCCCGATGAGGTGTTCCAAAATATTCTCGCGCGTAGAATCGACTGGCCAGAGGATGATGATGAGCTATACGATATATCAGACGATGCGAAGGATCTGATGAATCGGTTGATGTGCTCTGATCCTGCATACCGTCTTGGAGCGAACAAGGACGACAAATACGCTAGTGGTGGAGAGGAAATCCGCAGCCATCCGTGGTTTGCGGATGTCAACTGGGAGACCTTGCGGGATGACGAAGCATCCTTCATTCCTGCTCCTGAAAACCCAGAGGATACGGAATATTTCGACACCAGAGGAGCCGCCATGGCAAACTTCAGTCCTGAGTTTGAAGACCAAGCTACTACACCAGCAGGAACCCCAAGTACCGATTATCCTGACCGACCACACGATGCGTTGTCTAGAGTACGCTCCCAGGTGACTGTCTCGACTATGAAGCGAGGACTGATCCCTCTTCATATCCCAGCTCATGTGCGGGAAGGCCGGTCTAGGAGACTCAGTGAACCAATGGCAACTGACGACTTTGGTAATTTCAGTTACAAGAATTTGCCTGTTCTGGAGAAAGCAAACAAGGACGTCATCCAGAAGTTGCGTGCAGAAGCTATGCTTCCACAAAACAAGCCCGCACCGCCTCTGCAGTCGCCCAGTGTCACGTCGCCATCGCCATCGCTGGAGAACAGCCCGATGCTACCCGGCCCACTCAAACGTACGCTATCTTCCAATAGAGCCACCGGACGACCTTCTTCTCCCTCAATGAGCGGGCCACATTCCTCGCCAAGTCGTGGTTCACAGCCCTCATCTCCTCTACTCGTACAGTTCAGCACGGGACAACATGACCGACGCAAGACGTCTAGTAGCTCGTCTACGTTGTCACATTCGACTAGCAACCCATCCTCGCTACAACCTGGAAGCTTCTTCGATCCTTCACGTGTGTCAGGCTTGCGACCATCGCCAGAGGCTGTCTCACCAAACAGGCTTTCAAAGACACCGTCGGCACCTCCCGTGGCTTCTCAAGAGAAGCCCGTCACTGGACAACGCCAGTCATCGGCACAAACCAATGCTTCTTCACCACGTGCTCGGTCCCAAACGCTTGGGTCTCAAGAGGACGATGTTGTGCGCGATCTCTTACCTGGGCACTACAAGCGCCGGAGTCAAGTGCTTGATGTGTCTCCATCGTCGTCGGACACGGAAGACTCTCGTGCGAAAGCGCTGCTTCGTGTCCAGCGACGACGTCAGAGTTCTCGAAGACTCTCGCAGATCAGCTTTGGCGACGGTCCTTTCTTCCGGCCATTAGACGTATTGATTTGCGAGGACCACCCAGTGTCACGGCTTGTCATGGAGAAGCTGCTCGAGAAGTTGCGCTGCCGCACTTTGACCGTTACCAATGGCTCAGAAGCTATACGATATGCGATGGGCGAGGTCAAATTTGATGTGATCATGATGGAGTTCCGCCTTCCTCAGGTCAATGGTGCAGATGTCGCTCGCATGATCCGAGACACCAAGAACGCCAATACGCATACTCCGATTGTCGCTGTTACTGGATACCTGAAGGAGCTGCAGGCGCCTCACTATTTCGATGCACTTATCGAAAAGCCTCCTACTGTGGCGAAGCTTACGGACACGTTGAGCAGACTGTGCCAATGGAAAGCACCCCCGCCAGGCTGGACGCCGAACCAGTTGTATCCATCGATGATGCCCTCTGGGCTTCGACAAGAGTCTTCGCGTCAGGAGGACAGCCCCACGACCTCGAATTCTTCAGGATACCCACCCGTCCCTTCTGCCAGTTACCGAGGTTCGAGCCGCGAAGACTCTATTAGTTCTAGCTTCTTCGGTGACAACGATAGTCGTGCAGGCGAGGATATGCCAGTTAGAATTCACAACGCCGACGATTGGCGGGAGCGCGACATCGCACGAGCTATGAGTGGCTTAGGGATTTGCGACGATGCAGCTAATGCCGATGCGAAAGCAGCTGTTCCCAATCGTGTTGGTGCACCTGACCTGCCCCACGGGGACTCCGCGCCAGCCGTTCTCGAGGAGGCAACGATCCGCCGCCAGAGATCGACAGAGCAAGTCGGTGCCAAACGTCGCATTCTGGAGACTCGCAAACACGAATCGGCGGAGTCTGGGGACGATGAAGACGACGAGCTGGGTCATGCTCCAGTGCGCACTCGGAGTCCAAGGTCAAGACCAAAGTCTACGTCGAAACTTGGAATTGAGATGATGCGAACGAACAGCAGAGGCAGCGTCATCTCTGTCGAAGACCCTGGCCAGCCAGATTCAACCCTACCTTCTTCTCCGCCTCCAATGATCACAGAGGAGCGTGCGGCAGAGGAATATGAGGGTAGCCTTGACGTACCTGCAGTCGCGCCTACGTCGCTCACACCGCCAGTCCTCTTTCCCGAAGAACCCGGCGATGATGTGACTGACTTTGTCATCGAAACTCCCAAGGCGCAGAAGGACGCGATTAGTCCGGATCCGGATCCGGATCCCACGCCCAAAGCAAAGCCTGCCACGACACCCGACCCAGACCCAACTCTCCGAGCGAACAGTCCAGTGGACCCCTAGGCAGCATCGTGGCAGCTGTCCCGCACATATTTAATAAATTGCGCACTTGATATTACATTTTAAGCACGTCTTTCGCAGCATGGCGTTGGCGGTGTTCCTACCGGGAGGTGCGCCAATGACAGCGAGTTTAGGAAACACTCGACATAGTTCCTTTGTCTCTTCGCGCTGTCCAACTTTCGTTGCTTCGCGACTGCGTGTCGTTTTGAGAGCCCTTGTTTTCCAAGCAATGTCCATATAGTCAACATCTTCTTCTCTTTACCACAGCTTGGACGTTTTTTGAGTTCGTATCATGTGCCTTGGGAGGAGGCACTTTTGTCATTCCTTTACTGAAGTTGTTACCCAGTCCACACACGAAGTGCTCGTTGGATTCAGACTGTCGCTCGCTTCTTCTTTGGCTGCTGCCTGTATCAGGTGTACTATTATCGTATTGAAGTTTGCGAAACTTTTGTACTTCCGGGTTTGAAAGTCACCGATATAACAGCCGTAAATAGCTGAATGGAGATCACCTTGTACACAAGATCATTCACTGAAGTTTTCTCGCTCATCGGAAACATGCCTATCTCGGCGCTGCGACCATGCCCGAAACGAAGTAAGCCGGCTCTCTCTTGAGATTGTAAACACTATTCGCTGAAGAAGGCCGCAGTTTCACCCAGACCCATGGAGGATGATGGCACATGTATTCGCTAGGGTTCCTGCACACACCGATCTCGATTTGCACAACTGAGAAACCGTCTACAGCCTCGCTACAGCCACTACCAGCTAGTGCGGTCGGCCTACGCTTGAGGGGTTCGCGGGATATTACGGATCGTCTCTACTTACTCCCGCGCTGCACTCTTTTTGAAGAATTTTTTGCTGCAGGCAATCTCAGAGAGTAGTTACGACTCCGTACCTTGACGAAGAGTTCGAGTAGAGCTAAATCGCAGATAGTCGCTCATGTGAATGATGCGATGAGCCAATGGCACGAGCACGTATCGCTGGGCATGAAATAGGTACGAACTGTCGCTTTTCGTATGAGAACATGCGCTCCTCGACCAGCGATTGCGCGCAGGCGATCGATTCGATGACCCGTACGGCTTCCATACCTCGTTGACTATCGACTATTGCATACTACAAAGGAAACATAGACATCCTATGTTACAAGCTCGCGACAGAGCAATCGGCTAGAGAACGGAGCTTTGCGATTAGAACGTCGTTTGCGGATCAATCCTCCACTCGTAGCAGTCGTTATTCAGAAACCCACCCTGCTTCCCGTTCACACCCCCACATTGACAGCTGTTGACAGGAACCTCCAGGTATTTGTGGCACAAGTCGTAGTCATACTTGAACTGGCAGCCTGGGTCGACGCTGAGCGAAATGAGGATTTGGACACCGGTTCCCGTGCTGTGGTAGAATGTGTAAGTTAACGACTTGAAGTAATTTTCCTTGAAGACGTCACCCGAGCTACCTATCGCAATGCAGAAGTCGTGGATGGCGCTGTCCATGCGCGTATGCTCCGTCTTTTGATCCAGGCCACCGTAACAGTCGACTTCATTCTGCATTGGATCGCCTTCGCGCGGAGATGCCGTAGGCTCCGGCGGGTCTTCACTTGTTGTCGTTTTCGTCGACGTCCTGGAAGAGGTCGAACTAGACGAGGAACTGCTCGGTATTGGACATACGACCCAGCTGTCTTCCCAGTTTTCGTCGAAATCGCCGTTATCCCCATCAGAGTTGGTGTTGTTGTCGCCGAAGATCCATGGTTCGGTGAAGCAAACCCAGTCTATGAAGCCACACTCCTTGACCAACGGCTCCTCGATCTGACCAATGATAGGCTGAATTTGCCTCTTGGGCCAGCTACCCGTCGGTGGAGGCTGCGCATTGGGACCGATAGATTGAGGTGGCTTTGGAAAGGATATCTTAGGCCCTACTGTGGTAGAATCACCATCTGGACCGGCGTAGATCACCGAAGGCCAGTGGGGTGTGGTCGCGGGTTTGGGCCAAAAAGCCTCGAAGCCCTGGCGCTTCTGGTTGACAGCTTGTCCAGTCAGTGTCACTGGCTCAAACACCCACTCCGATATCGTCATGGGCGGTTTCGTGATGGTGCTTGTCCATTCGCCATCGCTGACCGTGATCAGTGGATAGTTCAGTGTGCTTGTAGCACGGGTCCACGGGGGAATCTTGACATTGCAAGGGGGTGAGCAAGTAAACGCTGGCTGTTCCATGTCCCAGATTTTGGGGTCTACCCAGATGTACTCGTCGTACATGGAGCCATTGCTGCTGACATCCAACACCGATATCTGCGACCAGAAGGGGTGGGAATCGACATTGAGATTATCCTTGGCTAGTATGCCCTTGCCATCCATGACTGCCATATACTTGGCGCCGATGGTAACGAGGTGCTGAATCCTGACATTTGAGAAGTTCTTTTCAAGCAAAAGCAGGGCTTTCTGGCATAGTTGCTGGTCGATGCAGGTCTGCGCGTACGTCGAAAACCACGAGTATAGGCCCGCGCTTGCGATGAAGACATTCTGCGATTCTCGCATTATGATCGCCCACGACTCGTCACACCCACTGAACTCATCGCCAGCCGCACATTCGTATGTTGGGTCACCTGAAAAGACGCCAAGAGCGGACTTGAAGGGAGCGGGTGGAGATGGCGTGGGTTGATAGTATGGTGACTCTGTCTGGAGTAAACCCGCGAAGATGTTTTGGGCTCGGTGAAAGTTGAACTGATAAAACACAGCATGCTCGGATGCAACACCGTAAAGCCTAGTATTGATTAGCCTGACTGCGACGACTGCGAGAGCGGAGATTGAGCTGAGCTTACCAAGTCGGCTCGGTGCTTTCGGCCAAGAAGCCACGCGCAACATAGACCGAATTTTGTACCATGTTATTGGCACCGCTTTCGAGATCGGGATCACTGCAGGCGGGTTAGCCAAAGGCACTGGCCGAGGGAAAACAGGTCGTACTTACTCAATCATGTGATCTGCGACCCAGAACCACGCGTTTTCGAGATACGCGGAGCCAGACGACGTCAGGTGAAACATCAAGCTCGCGGCACTGCAGCCTTGATCAACACCACTGGTGACTGGTGGGCATTCCTTTGGCGTCAACTTGGTCCCGGTGGCGCCTCCAACACGTGCGTGGCAATCCCATAGCGCAGCCGATCCAGCGCTCGATGCTTTCAGATTCCACTCGACCAGGATGGCTCCAGCCGTTGCCCCGACTGTGGTGAAGAACAGGTCCTGCATCTCTACATCTCCTACTTGGCCGTTGGTACCGACCTTGAGCAGCACCTTGGGATGGAGCGCATCTTCGAAATAAGACCCGGAAGCAACCAACTGAGACCATGTTTCGCCAACAATCTTGGAGCCACTGGGAACCGTCACTGTCGAAGTGAGTATGTAAGAGCCAGCATCTACGAAAAGTATTCTTCCCAGACTCGCATACAGTGCAGCTTGGAACGCCGCCGTGTCGTCAGTGATACCGTCGCCTTTGGCTCCAAGGTCCTTGATGTGCACGAAGTCGCCCACTGAACGGTCTTCGTACTGAGGCTTGGGACGCTCAAAGTACGCCCCATCGTTATCGACAAGTGTTGAATGACGACGGAAACTTCCGACCTTCTCTCCCGTGGTGAACTTGCGGTCTTTCTTATCAGCCGAGCCTTTGTAGACTGGGCCCATGGCCCATTCGTCGATCTTGGATGAGGACCCGGCCAATATTGTCTTTCCTCCTGTATCGGCGACGGTAGTACCCACGCCTGAAAGCTTGATATTTTCGAGGATGAGACCGGTACTGCCTGACCCGACCGTCGAAGTGGGAGGTGAAATTTGTACCACTGTCTTAACATTGTTGAAAGATGAGTCGAGGAAAGACGCTGAGCCAATGTTGCCCGCCGCTGCACCAGAAGTACTGTCGGGTACAAGCTTGAAACCTGTACCGACGTTGTTCATGGTAATGGACTTCCAGACCCAACCCCAATCCCAGATGAGATGGACACCGATCGTGCAGCCCTCGAACTTCAAGCGCTGCGCTGTGAACTGCTGGCTGCCACCATATAGACCAATAGCTCCACCTTGGAAGGTTATATCTGATATCTGCCCACCGCTGCCATTCTCAGCGTACATGCCATTCTGTGTCGGGCCGGCGATCAGGAGTACATTCTGGGTGCTCGTGGCCTGAGCAACCTGGTAATGCAAACAGGAGACCTTCTGTGAAGCACGGGTCTGTCTAACGTCGATAATCACATTGCGAATTTGCCGGTAGAAGTTTGCCGTGTTGATGTAGTACTCCTCATCTAGACCGTCCGCGCCAGTCCCTCCACCAGTGTACTCGTCTGTCGACAACACTCCCATACCGATGAACGACTTGGATGCCAGAACGGTCGGTCTATCGTTTGCATCTCCAATTACTTGCGTCCCAAATGGCATCGGAATGGTAGTCGAGATCAGGTACGTGCCTGGCGGTATATACACGATGGCATTCTTGAGTGTAGAGCCGTTGCAGCCCTTGCCGCAACGTTTACCGTCTAGCATGGCGGCTTTAAACGCTTTGGTGTCGTCTGTAATACCGTTACCAACTGCACCATAGTCGAGCACATTCCGGAATACTGCGTATGTCGCGTTATCGCCCCATGGTACCGTACCCTTCCTGGCGATACTGCCCATCCAGTAGGTGCCCTTGGCAGGCACAGCGCGCTTTGTCAAATTTCCGGGTATGCCAACTGCATCAGCTTCAGCGACTAGAGCTGCAGCATTCGCGATGCTGTCGGTAATGTTCAGGAGGGGTGGAACCGGTGTGCCGTCTTCTCTTACACGTAGATGACGCTTGGCCTTTGACTGCCCGGTGAAAGTGCCAGGCTTCAGCCCATAGTTGTTTCGCATAGGGTTCAACAATCGGGCTTGGTTGAGCTTGGAAGACTCCGCGATAGCCTTCTCAACGATGATTCGCGCTTTTTCCAGGTCGGACAGTGAGGCGTTGGTCAAGAGGGGAGTGACATCAGATCCGGAGATGGTTCTAGTGTCAGATTGTCGTGCGACTATGGGGTACGATGGAGACACCTGTTCGTTGCGGGGCTCAGTTTGAACATTTGTAGACTCTTCACGAGATTCAAGTCGTTCCATCTCACTCTCTTCATCGATATCGTAATGCTCGTCGAAGATGTCGTCATCGTCATCGTCCTCCTCATCCATCCAGCGAGTGGAGTTCATGTGAGACATTGGGATCGTCGTGCCGGTCAGATCCGCATCGGACCACGAGTCGTAACCGTCGGAGTCATTTGCTGGGACGATGTACTGGCTACCAAGACCGGCGTCAATCAGCTCTTGGATACGATCCATGTCCAGTCCTTGTCTCGAGCCAAACAAATTGCTTGAAATGTTTGCATAGTGTGTCTCGGGTGCATCTCGTCTTTGCTGGTTGACGACTCTCTCGTCAGAACGCACATTACCGGCTGGGTCGTCAAACGTCCAGACCCTTGCTGCGACGCCGTCCGCCGAATTGATGGCTCTGAAGTGGAAGAATGCTACGCTATCCTTGCTCTGATACGTGGGATGTAGACGGAAACCAGAATCCCGTCTCTGCTTTTCGATGATAGATTTGAGCTGACGCTGTAGCTTACCATGCGCATCGGCCTGCCAATTCTGTTCGGCTTTACATCCTCGTGCACAACTCATGGCAGCACAGCGTGTCTGTGATGCTACGTTAGGATCGCTGCGATCCCCTCCGCCCTCTACCCATGTAGCTGGTGGAAATTCATCGCACGTGTACCGCATTTTGGAAAGTGTTGTGATCGCGCCCACGCGATGGTTCCTAATCTGATTGATAGAAGTGCCAGGCTCCAAATCTTTGTGCCACCACACACCGTCGTTTCGCATTACGTCTCGCTGGCTCGTCTCGGGGCAAGGATGAATGTTTTTCCAAGATCCAGGGCAGGATTGTGATCGACGCTGGTATGATCGGAATCTGGCTCTCTTGCCAGTGTTGAAGTCATAGCCGAAAACGCTGTTTGGCAAACGAGTTCGACGTGTACTGGTACTACCAGTTTGTGCTCGTGGTGAACTGCTATACCAGTTCATGGCATTCTCGCAGATGTCTCTCAAATAGTTGCAGTTATATACTAGCACCACTTGTTTTGGCGAGACATCGATGACGCGCTGCTCCGCCGCATTCGGATTGGGACGGCTGCATAGTCTCTCGTTAGTCGCCGAGTTTCAAGCTCTCTAATGTCATCCCAAACTCACTAGAAGTATCCATCCACGAAGTTGTTGGTAATCGGATCGATCACCCGTCTGACATTGTAATCCTGGTCGAGCTGAGCGAGGGCCAGACGTCCCAGTAGCACACCTTGAAAGGCCAGAAGACACGTCAAGAAATACAATGAAGCCATTCTTGGGATGACAATGAGGAGCAGAGAGGTCTCTTCTCAGGGTGCAATGTTGTTTCCTGAGCGGTATATCCACCTTCGGTAATAAGGACAATACTGTGTAGCGACCAGAGAAGCTATCACGCAGGAGACTACACTGGGAGCAAATGAAGTACATTTGACCCGTGGAAGCCGTCGTATAGCCCTACACCACCTTGATTTTCGACTTTGTAAGACTAGAGTTTAGCCAAAGTCCTTGCTCAACAGTGTACCAGACTCATAGACATCTGCCAGGTAGATTGGCAATATACCTTTCAATCGATACCCAAGGTATCCCTACTCATTGCTTATGAGAAGATTGTAAGTAGAGTGTCCGAAGCCCAAGCATTGATAATTTCTTGTACATCCAGACGAGCACACGCAGCCACCAGATTGTTGCGCAAATGAACTATATGTTACACGTCATTTGGATCAAAGCTTGTACCCCCATGTTTCTTAGACAGATGCAGCAGAGATTTGAGTGCCAATAGACAAGGGCGAATGCATATTGAGCGTGCAAGAGTCAGGATAGAGCCATGCGTAGGACGTGGCTGCGCGGCTTCACCACGTTACTGTGGAACCAAAACGTTCTAAAGCAAGCAGAGCGCCAAATGTTGCAGAATACGATGAAAACATAATTCATGCTGTTTGGTCCATCTTGAAGCGGACACAACGCTTAATGAAATTCGCCATGCTACCCCAAGCAGGTCAAAGCTCTCCAGTGACAAGTCGAAGTAGAAGATGCTCTGCCTCAGGACGAGGATGAACGCAAGTTGACTACACTCGTTGACGGTGCAGAGCCGCATTGCCCAAACTGAGGTTGACTACGTGTTTATTGATGTCAGTTTCAGCTGACACGAATTCTGGGCGGGTCTCATGGAGTTCGGAAGGGAGACTCACCAGCCGGCACCGCAGTCAACCGGAAGTATCCCACATTGACCATTCTTGTTGCAGCAGCCCCCATAAACCACGTTGCAAGTGTATTTGTTTGGGCCTCCACAGCTACCATCCGGTGTAGTCCCAGTCTGCCATGGTAACGGGATAGTCGCAGTGGGGGATGCACGCGTACAGTTCCCTGACTGACAAGAATCAAAATTGCAAAAAGATGCACCATCGCCGCACTTGCCGTCAAGGTTGCAACAATTTCCCCATTTTCCTGCGCAAAGCCGATCCCTGTGTGCAAAACCGCAGGTACCGTCGGTGCTGTATGTTTTGTCCCCCAAGCAGCCGCCCTCGTAACACGTGCCATCAGCGCAATCCTCCCTAGATGATTGTCAGGCTGAGTTCGATTTTCCTACTTCTGTTTCTGCTAAGATTCTTACTCAGATGCGCCGCAAGTGAATGTATTGGCATTGCAGCACGGAAATTCGGTCCCAAGACAGGTTGCATTATTGTGCTTTGGGCCGCAAAGACCATCCAAGGCCCTCACAGGCTCGATATCTAGCATCTTTCGTGTCAATTCTTGGCACCTTGATCTTGCTCGAACGAGTATGTAATTGAAGACTTACAGCCATCGTAACAGTACCTCGATCTTGGCTGGATATCCGAGCAATCCGTCTTCAGCGTTGGGTTCAACCAGAAGAAATAGTCGGTCGTGATTTGATACTTGTCGCAGATTTCTGTGCAAGTATAATAGTTGACATGCTCGTGGGTTCTGGCCCAAGCTCGACAATTGAGTTCGCCAGGCTTCACTTCCAGAATCCTGATTCTGCCGCCAGTGTTCCTCACAGAACTCGTGATTGGCGTCGACAGCGTAGCAGTACCTGTCATCTCTGCAAAACGAGCAATCTTTGCATCGTTGGACCACGTAACGGGTCGGCAATCATCAGCGATCGATTCGGTTGGGAAGAATGCCAACGTGAAAAGAATGGTGAACAATGTCTGCCTTCTGAAAGAAGACATTTTTGAGGACAGAGCGACGTGACTCTTTGGACTGAATGAGGTGAGAAGTTAGTGCTTGTTGAACGATGCGCTGAGCTACATGGACTGGTAGAAACATACCAGTAGGTGCACTCCCCTACAAACTCGTCTGCCTCGAAAATCGGGCGGTCGTCGGGACACCAGTGGCATGCGCACTGTGGATTCGGGTAAGCCTCTGTGAAGCTCGGTACTAAAACCGTTGAGCGATCGACAGAATGCTGCATCCAACATAGCCTGAAGTCTACGTCGTGTAACGCACGGCAGTGTTGCCCCTGCGTATCGCAATATAATAATGTTGTCGTAGGATTGTCCCGCACTGCTACCGAGCCACGATGCATTGCTATTAATTGTACTGATCAAATGATAATGGATAAAAGATGACGGGTTCAACCTCAGGGAGGTCTCTGTGCTGATGAATGGTTGTGGTAGCGGTTGGTGACACAGTTAGGGTTGCATCCGGCAAGCGACGTGGTACCTAGGTAATTGACCGTGATTACGATCACGCTTGTTATCGATGTGCAGACACGAGATCACTAATATAGAGGCTATTTGCATACATTAAGGCTATGTGCATGTATTTGAGGCTAATGTCATTTGTGCACTCATCTCGTGGGTTGAAACATCCGCTGCGAGGAACTTGTTTCTGATCAAGCCAGTTCAGCAATTCCTCGAATATCGTGACATTCATAACATCACTGCAAACTCACTCTCTTGAACCGCCAGCGCAGTCATGCAGATACTCGGACTCCTCCTTCTTTCTATCTTTCCCGCTCTAGGGTCCAGCCACAAATCTAGAAGCTCTCGAGATACCGTACCGAACTTGAGAGGGGGAACAAAAGCCACAATTCAAAAGAAAACTTGCGGCGAAACCAGCGGCCGTGTCTGCTACGGAATTGGCGGTGGTGAGGCGCAAAACATCGACGAGGCCGACATCGCATACGCCGCGTCGTACTTGCGATTTCTGGCGGACAACAGCAACAACCCACTATGGACAATGCCGCCCGAGTTTGACTGCTCGGAGTGGGGATTACCAATAGCCGACGCCGGGACCGTGCTTGTGCTCGCCAAACACACTAAACCACGCACCAACTCCTCGGTCACCTATTATGACCTTGCTCGCACTATCGACGGTGGTGCACAGGCGACATCCGCTCAGATGGCAGAGTCTTTGCTGGGAGCGTGCGGGTCTGGAGGCGGTATGATGGGGGTCACAGTTGATGACAAGGACCCGGCATACAGCACTCCTGCTTACAAGGCCTCAGGCGCAAAACATCAAGATATCATCGTCAAGATTGTAAGGGCTCCGGTAGCTTGATGTACGATGAATGCAAGAATGGATTAGGTAGCAAGAGGCTGATTGTAGCTCCGCCAGCCTAGTACTTGAAAACACTGTCTCAATGAAAGCGTGTTGATTGCAGCTCTTAGGTGATTTACCACACACTTGATCCTATCGTTTTCTATTAAGCAAATTAAACAAACCTCGCTCGACACAATACTTCCCACTGCGCTCTCCATGTGCACCTGTATCCATGGGGTATATCACGACGGGGCCGGTCCGTTGAAACCGTCCATAAACGACCAGTCGAGAGGCCGCTGAAAGACGGAGGAGCGCCAGTCCGCGGTGTCATTCTTCACAGTATCTACTGACATGCTCTTTCGCCAATCTTCCACTGTTTCGAAGTTCACTTGGTCCGGCAAACCATAGCTAATCATCAACTTGGTGTCTGCCGCCAGAGGCTCATTCTTCTTCAAGTCCCCCTCTGCCCCAAAGATGTCTTCACGTCGGCCTAGCAACCAGGGGTGTACCGCTAAGACGTAGTCGTGAATGGTAAGGAACGCGCCACTGGCCTTGACGAGGAGCGTCTCACCCTTCTTCCGTGGCCGATCAGCGCGACAACACCTTAATAGATGCGGTTCCTCCACCTCGTCTGAGTCCGAATCGTAATCTTGAAGCTCTCCAAAGAGAAACTCATCGGGGTCCTCTCCATTGTCCTCAGGATTATGACAAAAGCGGTGCATTTCGAGCCACTGGAACTCCCAGTCTTCGAGAATGTCAATGTGAACGATGACGGAGGAAGTTTTGGGTTCGGTGAGGGGCGATTGAGATACCGGATGCCAGGTGGTATTCGAGGCTGTCTTGTCACAATATGGCTCTATCGCGATGTTGGGATCGTAATTGATGGCCTGCATGACCTCGATCGCGCGGTTCAATGGGCCGTCGAGCGCCCACTTTAGACGCTGGGCATCGAGACTGAGACCGATGGGCTGCTGCGCTTCGCGATAGACTTCGTAGGCCGGTGGTTTTG